AAACTGTTCAAAGTGTTCTAGTTTTGCAGGTCCTTCGTGTGTTGCATGACCCTGACGGGCATTAGTACTAGTATACACACGTGCCTCCAGAGAAATGATCTTGTATACTGAGATCGCCAGATATTCAAATTTTCCCCAAAATTGTCTCTCCTCTTATAAGACAGCTCATTAATCTTGACTGGTCTTTATTGCAGTCGCGGAACTGACTTGACTTTATTCCGTTTTTTAATTTAAATTCATTATTTGATTTGCGCACTAAGTCGTTCCTTGAGTTCAGAGAGCAAATCTTATTACATTGTAGCTTATGGCATCAAGTACAATACCTTGAATAAACAAATATCATTCATTTAATTGTAAACGTGTTTGATGATGACCAAGTAATATGTCTGTTGAATCGGCATTAAATCTTGCTGGAATATGGAAAATTTAACCAAGTTCAACTATATAAAGACATTGAACGAGAGATAATAAGTATGGCTATCGCTTTGTAATTTACACAGAATAACGGGGAGCTGTACACGTTCTGTGGATCATTTAGCTATGTTTTCACAACATTTTTTTAACTTAATATCCCATTTATGGACGCCCGTTGGAAGGAAAGATAGTTTCGAATCACGTATTCTTGTAAGTTATTGTAGAATCGCTTAATGTGCATGCATGCGGGCCATTTGAGGGCACTAACCTTAAACTGAGGTCAATATTTTTTTGTGTTTAATCAAGTCGGTTAGCCTTGTCATGTAGTGCTAACTGCTCGAGGAATTGAAACTCCCGATGAAATGTATCAGGTGCGATTGATTTTCTCCATTAATGAAACAACTTTGTTTTGTTAACCAAATAAAAATCTCCAACGTAAAGACTCTTTACTTATCTTGCACGAAATATCCGGCATATATTCATGTTTTTATACTAGAGTAAAAACTATTTTAGTATAAATTCTACACCGTATCATAATAGAGTCATGGAATAAAAGCGCGAACCATCAGCAGGAGCGCCATTTATAGCGAACTTTGCTGTAAATTTGTATTATAAATAATTATGTTAGCAATTATTTTTCACCCATATTAATATTTAAAAAGGAGAAAAATACAGAACTTCTAGGTAGCTGTGTACTAAAAATATTTCAGGAAAAATAATGAAAAATATTTTGAATAATTTCTTTCACATTGATAAGTAAATCAACTCTAACTAACACATTGGAAAGAAACTAAAAATGCCAGCTGCTTAAACATCAAACTTAGTAAATAAATTTACTGCATTTAATATAAAATGATGTACACGATTTTTATAATCATACCTAAACTCAAATAATTTCCTTCACTTACTTACCATTTTCGCTTAGCAGAAGTTGCACGTTTCCTCAAGTAAACACAACAGTCTATATACGGAGATAATCCATCACCAATTACACAGAATTATATTCTAAAATGGGCAAGGATGGGTGGATAATAAAATGCACAACCAACTTTATAAGAAAAAACTTAAGTTCCTCACATGGAAACAAATACGCGCAATAGATGTGCAGTATTAAGACCAGTACGACTAATGGCAGACGTAAAATGTTGAGACGATAATTGTCCTTCTGAGAGGGTAACTCAAACTAAAAGCTAACTTCTGTTCAACAACAAGATCTCTGTTGTAATCACTTTAATTGCCTACAGAACGTCCTTCAATTATGTGCAGGAGCGACTACAATTATCAGACAAATATACATCCACGAACAACAATTTAGCTCCAAATTAAACTAAATTGAATGTAGGAAAATTCATTATCTCCTTTTCATCTCTCATGTTGAGGTACTGAATTTCTACAACGAAATTCTACGGAAGCCTCAATCATCTAAAACCTTGGCTTTCATCAGCCCAATGCGGTCACTTATAACAAATGCTGCCAGAAGACACACATCTTTATAGTTACTCAACAGTTAGGTCCTCAAAACGGACAGTACGTTCTCTTATTCTGTGATTGTTCATAGATATTCTTCTCTTAAAGAATTTCTCGGCGTATCACTTAAGGCGCTTAAATGCATTCAATGAATTTACTATTGGAAGCCCTGTTATTTGCCGTTGCTCTATCATAGTTCATCTTTAAAGTTTTTGCCATTAAAAGCTCTTAGTCAAGAAGGAACTCATTCTGAGCTTCATTTGCTTCCCCCCACATTCTGCGTGTCGACGGTAAATTCTGCATCACATAAGAACATCAACTTCATAATCAAGCAATCGACAATTTTCCTCGAAAATCTGCAAACGGACTAGAAATAACACAGTGAAGATTCTAATGTTACAATTGCAATAATTCTAATCAATAACTTTTATCACGTAATTCGTATTTGAGTTCTATGTTAAACTCACACAAATCATGCCGCCTCCATTATCTAACAAGGATCGAATTTCTGCGCAGCCTGGTCTCCTGGACATTAAATATTTCCCGAGCATCAATCTCCGAAAATTTTTTGCAGTGAACTTCATCCTAAAATTGCAAGCAATTTTCGATACATTATTCATTTCCAAAAATTAGTCCTATGTTTCTAAGCAAGTAAACTTTTATGATGTCAACAATGAGTAACTATTATTTTCGTTCACACCAAAATTCATTAGTTTCTACAACATCAAGCAAACATTTATGATCTTCACACAGCGGTAATCTAAGAGCGTGAGCACAATAAATGTCATTACTCATTCCGCTAAAAGTTAAGGACGTGCGCAAAGTTATAAGTAATAACAGTAAAAGATCACCTGAAAAATTCCGAGGCAATAAACTCGATTGAATCATCACAAAAACTATCAAAAGGACACAATAAACGTACACTAATCACAAGGTTACAATTAATTTAAGATACTTTACCTAACATAGAACAGCTACAGCTAGCTAAGAAATAATTGTGACGTCTAAATAGTTGAAACAAACTCAAGACATTCTGCTGAAGTAACGATCTTTGAGCTGAATTTCTGCAGTGGTCTGTATTCAACAATCATGAGTGGTCTGTATTTTTAAGTCGAAGTTGAAGATTATTGCCGTGCAGTTGAAAGTTGTGAAGGATCATCATAAAAAATTGATTAGAATGTTTTCTTTCAACAAGGTTGGGAGTAAACTGCAAATTCAAATAAAGATTGCATAACTGCAACGGTTCTCTCAACGACAAAAAAGGAAATAGTTACATTCTGACACAAGGAAATCACCGTTGCATCAGGAATGAAATCCTCAAGATTTTCCAACCAAAATGCTCAGTTAAGCTTAAAATACGTCAGGATATTGCATTATTGACTTAACACCAAATGCTGGGGCCGATTAATAAGGGCGTACCTTCTACAAGTGAGATCTTCATTTTCACTGCTTATTTCATGATCATTATTCCATTATTCCTGACACCCTGAACGATAATTACTTTAAATTTACTATCGATCGCATTTGGGTTTCCTGCTCATCGCGCAAAGAACTGGAGCGGCACAACGAGAAGCCGCGACAATGTAGCAGGGATAGACTTATCGCTTCGAAGAAATTATAATCACTTAGGTTACAGTGAACTCTCAGGGCGACGTTATATGACAAACTTGAAAAGCGAAGTGAATTGGAATTGAATTGAAAATAAAAATTACTATTAAGACGGAAATTTTAGCGGTTTCGTGTTCATCATTCCTTGATGAAGGTCCACTATATTCCATGGATGATGGTATATATTTCTGCAACTCACATTAAAGATCAAGGGATTGAATACACATTACCGAGTATGGTAAACTAATATTTTTCGATTATAATGCCCAATGGCCTGATTAAAGGCCTCATTTCAACATCGTTTAGACGTATGAACTTAATCACCCAGGTAAATCTTGCAATTCATCATTCCTATATTGGACTTATTTTTCAATAGATTTAAATCCCCGTTCAGATGACTCGGAGCGTTTGGTGAATGCACTGTCATGACGCGCCGAGAGCCCAATATTTTATAACAACATCGTTCAATGCTTAAAATTTAGAATTTAATTGCCCAGTACACGACTGGCAAAAAAATTCTTCACATCATCCATCATTGGTTGTGTTAATTGCAAAATATCCCCATACTCGAATGTTTCTTCAGAAAATAATTAAATGCAATATTAATGGAACATCTAAATGACATTTAAGGTTTAGAAACACACAAATGACGAATATAACAGCAGAGAAAATCGGCGCTGAAAGTACCAGCTTAGGAGAGAAAGTTCACAGAACAAATTTAAACGGTTTGTCGTTCGCGAGTCATATACTTAAAAGTTCTATTTCTTGCTTGAATGAAACATTCGATTTCATATCTAAACTTATTTTTGTTAAATAACATCTCAGGCACTAATAGTGATACTTCATCAATTTTTCGTGAGTTTTAACATTCTGACCTCGAATAAGATTCGAACGTGGATGATTTCTAAGGAAATTCAGGCGTGTACAGAGATAAAAAAATCATTTTTCACTTAAAACATGAAAAATTGCGGCGCGTCAATGATAAAATGATCTTAAAAATCAGCGTAGCAGCTATTTCAGCAATGGGTCTATATACTGCATACGTATATAAGCTAGGGTGAGTTGGATAGTTACTATCTTAACTACAACATCTCAGAACATAGATAGGCATTTATATGAGGGTATAACGTCTCTTTAAGTCATGGAAGAACGTTTATCAGATCAACCTCAGCGTTGGAAAATAGTTGTTAACTTTCTATCAATGTCTTTTAAATGAATTATTCAAGCTTGATAGGAACATACGAAGTTCATCTAAAAAAAATGTTCCAGTAATCGAATTTATCACCAAACTAATTGGAAAAATCGTGTTCGATAAAACTGTTCAACCTATCCGTGTTTCTACCCATAATATAGTTTAAACTATTTTGCGCGAAGATTTGCATGTTTCACCGACAATTTATTTTTGGATGTAAGAATTTCATTTAAAATAATTAGAAAAATAATTCATTTATGAAAATATTGAAACTTTTATCAATATTTTTCCTATATATTAATCTATTTATAAGCACTTCTTCAGCTTAATAATTAAAATATAAAAAATTTGATTCGATTCTATGGTATCGTTCTAAATTTCTCCTTCGCCTTGCTACAGAAAAATATTAATTTACGCGCAATTCAATAATTTTAACTTGAACATTCGCAACAATTAGATAAACTCGAGCCATTATCAAGGCATGAGCAAAACCATAACAATTCATCAATCAAAACAAATTAATAAACTACCGACACAATAGTAGGAACAATTACCACGTTAAAACACTATCAACACTTCGTTTATTCCTATAGACAACTTTCAGCAGACACAAGTCCAAACATTATAACAATTTTCCACTAATGTGCTTCTTGCACGCCAACCGACCAAAATCACACTAAAAAATTATCATGAACTATACTGTGGAGTACAGAGATCAATAGAGGATTTTTGAAGTTCCGCGGCTACTACGAACACTTCAGAGCCTGAATACAATGTTGAGTTGTCGCACTCTGAGCTCAATTTTCGCTATAGACATTTCACACAGAAGAGAATTGGAAACCATTGTTCGTTTGGTAGCAGAATCGAGCTCATTTATATGAATACCGGTCGATGCCTATTAGTTCAAAAGTCCCAAATAAGAGGATTACAACATCTTTTCCACTTATCTCTGAAGAATTGTCGACGAGTGAAACTCTTTCGTCCGCGCGTGAAACTTCTTCATCGAGTCAAGATTGATATCTCATTACGTTCCGAGTCACTGAAACGTCACGTTGCCTGGCTTGTCATTGAAATATCCGACGACTGAGGAATTCAACAGGATCAAGGCTTATTTCTCCATATCATTGGACATATTGCGAAAAATAAAGATATTTCCATCAAATCGTGGGCATCAGGGGCTTGTTTCTTGGAGCCGAGTCGTCTTCATCAGGACAACAAGCGCTTATTTCCTGGAGCCAAGCTTCATGTGCAAGCCGTCTTCCTCCTCCTCCTCTTCTTCCTCGTCATCTTCGTCCGCCTGAGCTGACCAGTTCCTCGTAGCTCGCTGAGAGGACGACTCAGGCTCCATCTCGTACTCCTCGTCCTCTGCTCAGGCCAGAAGAAAGTATTAACGAATTTCAGAATAACTTAATTCGTACTCTCCTTTGAGGACAGATATCAAAATAAATTTAAATTTTTTTCAATATATGAAAATAAAATTAGAAATTCATTTTACATGTTTAACATTGGAGACACTGGCCTTTTAGAAGTGTTGTCTTTAAAAAGTAATTTTTAAACGCATATTTTATTAATAAATATTTCCTACAGTGACATAGAGTTGACGCAATCGTTATATAGAAGAGCTTGCATGAAAATGATTGTAGAAAAAAAAATCAATTACACAATTTTCGAAGAGTAAAGAGAGGTAGATTTTCCAAAGAAATGATGATGTGTTAATCCTTCTGTACACGTCTTCGGACTTACGAAGAAAGTGGGCGTATAAAATACAATAAGTTGTAATGATACGGTAGTTTATGTGATTTCTTGAAACGTACATATAATAGAGGTATGCAAAATGGTTGAGTTAGTTTGGCTGGGATTATCATTTTACTGTATAATTTTTTTTTCTCTACTTCAAAGCTCAAAGTTTGATAAAGAGATAAGTAAACTCATTGCTTAGCAACCGAAAGTACGAGCTCGTAATTACGACGATCGCAAAATTGAAGTTACTTAAGCCGGAGATAAGTTTACTTGAAGTTTCGTTTCCGCAATCACTCTAAGATTCTGGATTGTGATCGAAACCGTCGATGTTAAAATTAAATGAAAAAATTCATGATATCTATCGCACGTCACTTGCCCGTAACACGAGACCTCAAAAAAATCAGCTCCGAAGACTTAACAAACTTTTTGGCGTTAAATTTAATGGGTTATTTTCATTAAGTTTATTTCACTTTTTTCTTTCTATCAGGAATACAGGAAAAACACTAACCCAGTGCAAGTGGTGTCCGCGAGTCGATCGGGGGCAGTTCGCGGCCGTCTTTGTGTCCGTCGGGCGGCCCCCAGCCGGCGGTTGGCCGGCACAGAGCCGTGATGCGCTGCAAAAACAACCACTCTTTCATACAAAAAGTAATGTTCATTTGCGCATTACTTTTGTCTACGTTCCAACTGCTGCTTCATATTGGACTTTGTTTATGTAGCTTCTTCATCCAAACTCTGAATCTATTATAGCAACGTCATCCATCGCCTGGCGTCTTCCCTATTCCTCATATTACAACTTCGAACCAGTTTCTCACTTTTCGAGCTCGGCTATTTCATTTCATATTGAACACATAACTGTTTACCCCTCAATAACGATTGCATCATTTGCCACAATTCTCTGGCCACAAGGTGGTAACTATTCAGAGTACCAGGATTGGAGCATTGGGTTCGATCCAAGCTACCTGCGACAGCTCGGTGCAAATTTGCAAGGTGACCAGGTGTCTAAGCAACGCAAAATTGAAGCAGTGAGTTGCAGTGTTCGAGACCCCCAACAAGCTGTGAATGCTCTGCGTCGCGATGTTCAGAATCGGCGATCTGTGTAACGTCCTGATTAACGCTGACACCTCGATACTTTACTATTCATCTCCTCCATTTCTCCAGTTCCCTCACTCATTCCCCACTAATTTTTCCCTCTAGTAAACGTACCGCCCAGACCGGTCCACTCTTGGTCGAGACGAGGATCACGGCCCTGATGGGTATGGCTGCGATGCACGTGAATGAAATCGACCAGCCGAGGACGTTAGCCCACGTCGGGTAGGCGTAGTGGCCGTAGGAAGACGGCGAATAATCCACGAATGTGAATACCAGTATCAACTGCAATAATAATCACTTTAATTAATTACAGAAAGTTCGGGTGATGAATGAGTGTTAAATATACGTAAATATTTTCCTGTTCAATTTTATATCTGAACTTATTTTCCGAAAGATTTTTCGATTGAAAAATGTTTAAAATCATTTATCAAGAAACACTTGTACGAGTGTTGCGACGGCGGGCAAACCCAACCAAAGCAACAGCCATAGTCAAGATATAAACTCACAACGACGCTGAGCGGAGTGAGAAAGCACCAAGTAGCTTTCCAGTAATACTTTAGGGTGGGGTAGTCGCCGAGCATCTTCTTGATATCTTCCATAAAATTGTCGATTCCGTACACCCAGCATACAACCGTCAACTGACAAACAGACCAGAGGTAAGAACAAATACTACATTACTAGGCACACGTATCAGAACCAGACTCATATGAATCTCTTCATATTTATACAGAAAAAATTAATTTACCATAACCCGAATTGTTCTCTGATGATTCTATCGAACGGTTAAATATCTTATATTATACATTTGTTGCTGCAAGACATCAACAAATATTCAGAATGATGCGACAAGTGTAATTCACATTAGTCGGAAGGAATTTCCGCAAGCATAAATGGTATAAAAAATGCGAATAATAATCAATCGAGTCTTGCCGTTGACTAAATGATGGTTTAATTTTTTTCTGTTCATTTGCATTCTATGCGTACCTCGATGGCACCTATCATGAGGGCGCTGTAGGTGCCCGAGTAGTCGTCTAGCAGCTGAAGGATGTACATGCCGTGCTTAGTGCACATCGAGAGGCCCAGAGAGCAGCCCACAACACACATACCGACGCACACTTTCCTGTGAATAAATATTTCAGTGAATATTTTCATTTACCTGCAATGAACTTCGACGTACATTACTCTGAAAATATCCCCGAAGTTGCGAAATTCTTCATTACCCTAATGCAATGGTTAACCAAATTAATAAATCCCGCACGGAATATGACCCGAGTACTCACAAAATGAACTGAGAAACGACAAATACACCCAGTCAATTGACTCAATTCCAATACGAATAATTGATGCTCCGAGATCCAATATTCGTATCGGATGCTAATAAAGAAGGCGTCTCTGCACTCACATGTAATGTTCTCTGAGTTCGAAGACGTCGACGACGGAAGTGATGACGGTCTGCACGATGGTGAACTGCGAGCCCAGGCCCAGCGTGAGGAGCATCACGAAGAACAGGATAGCCCACAGCGGCGAGATGGGTAGCCGCGCCACCGCCTCGGGATACGCGATGAACGCCAGGCCCGCGCCTGCCAACACCGGGCATGAGACAAGGGTCGTTGCAATGAACCGGGCGGTGATTGTGGAAAGGGAACCGCCAACCTTGAATGGGAACCGGGCGGTGATTGTGGAAAGGGAACCGCCAACCTCGAATGGGAACCGGGTGGTGATCGTGGAAAGGGAACAGCCACGAGCGGCTGATCCGCAAACCCTCAAATTATTTATAGGTACTTTTATGAATGTAAATAAATATTTAGCTGAGACTGATACCCTGCATATTAGCGGAGGAATATTAGTTACAGCCAAGGCTAGTCAGGTCACCATTTTGATGCAGTTTTTTATTTGTAGATTGGACGAATTTAGCTGAACATGAATATTTTGAACTCGAGGCGATAAATTTTAAATAACATAATCATATGATTGGTCAGTGTTACGTTGGGCAAACCATTAACTTTCCACAAGATCCTTGGTAATAATTTAAACTATGGCATCCGCATATCATCATTGCAGATAAAAAAAGTAAGTATTAATTCCACTATCTTCGAAGTAACCTTGACCCTGACACTGCATAGATCTTTTCATCAAAGTATTTTGTAGTAACACACAGTAAAACATGCGTAATTTTAGCGGCAACGCTGACCCTGAGCAGCCACGGCCTCCACCGGGACGCCCATCTCGTGCGCCATGAAGCCGACGATGCCGAAGATGACGAAGCCAGCGAAGAAGCTCGTGAGGCAGTTGGCCACCGTGATGGTGAGGGCGTCTCTGAGCGACGGACAGTGACAGGGGCATAGTGAACGAAGCGCTCAATGTCATTGATTTGAAAACTGCTTGTAGTATTGTGTAGGAATTGCGTGAGTGATGATAAAATTAAATAATGCACTTGCTGCATCTACTCACTGAACTATGAAGCCTATTTTATATTTTAATGATATGTTTTATTGTATAATTTATTTTATTTAGCCATTTTCACTGAGAGAAGGAACAAATATCATCATATTTGATAAGACACTCCGGTTTAAGAATCTATACAATAATACTTGGGTAGTGCAAGCAATGGTACAGATTGTATCGGTTTTCCCATAATTAATTCTTTAACGCCGACACTAATTTACTAGACTTTAACCTATATATCATTAGATCATATCATCTTTCTTAATGAAATATTCTTATTTCTCCAAATCCTGTTTATCATGATGGAATATGCTGACACGGAAAATGATTACATTATTGATAATTGTTTTGAATCAATACCTTCATTCTGTGGCCGCATATCACAGCACCCACCTGAGGCAGTTGTTGTTGAACTTGTTATACGAAGCTAGCGTGATGAGGCCGCCCCAACATGGGCCTAGTGAGAAGAATATCTGCATGGCGGCATCCGCCCACACCTGCTCGAATTATTCCAACTTTATGTAAAATTAATGCAAGACATTTTATTGCACGCACGGATTTAAAATTGTGCTCATTGCATACTTATTTGTAGTTCACTCAAGTCAGTAATAATTTGGTATTGGGAAAAACTTGCAAAAAATTCTTCTGGATACTGTAATCCAAATCGAGAGTCTGTTTAAAAATGATTCTTGTAGCATTCATAACTATATTTGATGTCATTACTTTGAATACAATTTTGTACGCTAAAAATCGAAAGTTTCTTTTAGCACTTTTCAGTCGAATAATCAGTTAACCAATTTCTTCACAGGACTCTCATGCGAATGTCATATCAACCAAAGTTTTTCCTCAACAATTTCAGCTAAGGCACCATTGAGATGTACAGTTTTCAAAAATATAACCATATACTAACTAAAAAAAACTACTGCTAACTATATACAACCTAATTAAAATATGTCAAATTGTTCATTTTACATGAACGTGGTACATGGCAGCAAAGACCTTAACTTCGAGTAGCTTCTCCCACTTGGGCGTGAGGTAGAATGCGATGCCATTAGAGTAGCCGTCCAGTGTGACCGCTCGTGCGAAGAGTATGAGCAGCACGCAGTACGGGAACAGCGCCGTGAAGTATACCGCCTTAATCAAACAATTTCAAGTGGTCAAAAATTTCATTGATTTTCGATTCACCAGAATGATTTCTAGTTAAATCGAGGTCACTCGCTCATACACCGTAAACTTTTACAGCAAATATCGAATTCATAATATTCTATTCCTGATAAGTATCGGATAACTTTTAAATCCAAGCAAATTTTTTTGTCGAAGGTTCATGGGAAATTTATTTTTCACCATAAACTTTAAAAATTACAGATTTGTATGCACAACCGATCAAAAATGAGGAAAGTTTATGCAACACCACACACCTTGCCCATGCCGGAGACCCCCCTGAAGAGCCCCAGGAAAACCACGACCCAAGCTAAGATGAGGCACAGGCTCAGGTGCCACTGTAGGTGGTGGCCGTCTTCCTCGTGGAAGCCCTCCGAGATGTCCAGCATGAAGTTGCTGCACATAAAAATAGGAACTTGTGGACTTCAAATTGTCAACAAATAGCTGCACAAAGAAAATAGTAACGTGTGAACTTCAAATTGACAACAAATATCTGCACAAAAAATAGTAACGTGTGGACTTTTAATTGACAATAAATACAAAAGTACGGGATGCAGCTGGTGAATAAAACGTTTGTAATAAGAATATGGTGAAGTTCCCGTTAAAATTCGTTTACTATTGCATTTTGATCCAATCCGCCATTGCGGAAAAGAAGTAATGAAGAAGGAGAAATGCATTCCAATTGATAATCAGTATGAGTACCGGCTCGCAACAAATTTCTTAGAGAATTAAGTAAGAAATATTGGATTGTAATTTCGAACAAATTTCAATCAAGCGAGTGCAATGCCTCTTGTAAGATTTTCTTTAACGAGATTGACTTATGGACAAAGTTGCGACATTACAATAATATTCGCAATTTATACATGACAGAATTTAGCAACCGGCTAAAAATATGCATGATAATAGCGCAACCTCCTGGAATAACTGCGTTTAAGCTAAAATCGTCGTATATAAATGATTTTCTTCTGTTTTTTTTTTTCATTTACTCGCGTAGAATTTACAGGAAAAGTTTTTGTCATTGATGTCAGGAAGGACAGGGAATTCACAGACTAACCGGATCTAGATCCTGAGCAGCATAAAAACCGGAAACGGATCTAGAGCAACATAAAAGCCGGAAACAGATCTAGAGCAGCATAAAACCCGGAAACAGATCTAGAGCAGCATAAAACCCGAAAACAGATCTAGAGCAGCACAAAACCCGGAAACGGATCTAGAGCAGCATAAAACCCGGAAAACCCGGAAACGGATCTAGAGCATCACAAAACCCGGAAACAGATCTAGAGCAGCATAAAAACCGTAAACGTATCATGAGCCACAGAAAATCTAATACTCCCTCCCAAGGGGAGACTGAAGTACTCACTGGAAGTACTCATCAGCAGGCAGTTTGCTCTGCATGAACGTGGCGTTGAGGTGACGCCACTGTTCGGGCGTCACTTCGTCCCTGTAGTAGCAGCTGCCGTTCATGGCCATCAGGCCGTCGTGCAGTGTGCAGTTTTTGCTATCAAACCTGCTCAAAAAATTCATATATCTCAATTTCTAGGCGCTTTCGTACAGAATTAAGAACTTATTTCCCTTCTTGTTAAGAATTATTGATGAAGTTTTCTAGATCAACTGTTATATTCATTATTTTATATTATATTTTGCAATCCTGATTACACTCAATTTTTAGTCAGTTTCTCCTAAAGTGGAAAATTCATACATGTACCATGAAAACATGAAATGATAAAATAAATTTGTTATTTGCTCATATAAATTTTGAAAACGAAATTATCGTTTTTAATTCAAGTCTATAGTAAGCAAATATGTCTGCTCCAAAGAAGTGCAGCCTTCCTAATTGCGACATTTGTATGTAGGGTATGTACTCATTATAAAACGCGTGGCGTGTGCTAAAAAATGTTGAAAATTACAAAATTACAAAAACATAAAATTAACTTTTTCATCCTGCCTCGATTTTTGATCACATCAATTGAAGCTAAACGCAGTACAGCAAAAAGCGTACTATCTCTGTTTTGTTCAAGAAAACTAAACTGTGAACGTGACTTGTCATAAAAAAACATTGAATGCCCTAGAACGTTGTATCACCTTCTGCAGGCCTCAGTATTCCACCAATGGTCGCATGAAGCCCAAGGCAGGCTGGCCGTGAACGAAGAGAAGAGGTAGAAGAACGCCCACGCGATGATCACATTGTAATAAAGGCCGATGAAGAACGCCACCATCACCATGCTTAAGCCGAGGCCGGTAAAGAGAGGACAGATCTTCCAGATGGTGAGTGGGCCTTCTTGGCCGAACTGGCCCAGGCAGAGCTCGAAGAAGAACAGCGGCAGGCCCGTGGTGAGCAGCATCGCTACGTACGGTATCAGGAATACTCCTGCAAACGGAATAACGTGATACTGACGTGACCAACATATGAATAAAAGAAAATTGTTGTAAGTGATTCAGGTACAGAAAATAAATGCCCTAACAGCGAATCTCACGCACGTATATATTTTGAGAGAGAATAAAACAAATTGACAGAGATAATCTATGGTCAGAAAAAATTAATCATTTCTCGAGACTGTGCTAATAAAATTCTGCACGCCGCAAACCTTATTTATTTTTCCCTTCTAACAAATTTTATTCAACGTCTTCTAGGACTAAAATGAAGTTAATTGTTTGTTCATATAAACAATAATAACGTTCCGTTATTGCCAACATGTCATTGAGCCTGCATATATTTAGTCGCCTTGTTCTTGTTTTACAATTTTTTAAAGGTAAAAGTTAGAGACCATGACAATTCCCCTTTTTGCTCTTTTTTAACACTTTTCCAATATAGTGAAAATAACGATTTCACCACACTTTATCGTCTTCCGAGCAACAGCTATTGACTTGTATATCTTTCTACCAACACAAATGGCAATACATCGACGCTTCTTAGTTCGTCTTCTCATATTCATGTAATATTTGCACAAAGGGAAGCAGAAATTTTGGTCAGAAAGTCATTGCCGGAGATTTACGAATCTGATCTACATATATCGAATTTCAAATATTGAACTGAAGCGTATTTCAAAACTAAACAAAAAATGTGTGAGGTTCCTCGGCGTCATAAACTATTCCGGAAAACAACTACGATATGCACTGCTCACATACTTAAATTTAAGAAGTAAACGACGTAGACTTTTACTGAACAGAAAACGTTCAAAGGGAGGGCAAACTCAATTAATATTAAAAAGACCTTCCTCCCGCCTGTAATTACTAATTAGTTTTCCCGAACGCAACGCAGGAAATAAAATCATGTTAAATTTGAATTTTAGCTAAATCTTATCGCTGTTTGAAACGAAAAAATAATAAAATAAGAACAAAATACAGTCTCATCATTTGCTCATGGTTAAAAATTGTAAATTTGTTAGCATGATTATTCAATATTCTTGCTTAAATGCATTTGACTGTATGAATTGTGCGAGCTCATGGCAAACACGAATATTTGAACCTACGAAAATTCAGAAAATAAAAAATTATCATCGCCATACATTTTAACTTTGAAATTGTAATTATATTTTTCTTAACCTACGACGCGTCGCTACTGAAACATCCCGTACGAATCACAAATTATCGCATGAGAGCCATAATAAGCATTAAGTTGTTTCGACTCGGTAACTTTGGCCAATTATGCTCTTCTAAAAAATTGAACATCATCGTTCTCCATCCAACAACCATTATTTAGATTTTATATTTAGCCAACCAAATTGCCGGCGGACCTGAATGTGCACTTGCCATTAGATTTGATAATATCCCAACTCTACTTACTAAACAAGTTGCATCGAGCTGATTATTAGCCGATCTATAACACGATCAGCTTTCTTATTTTTAAGACGCCACATCAAATGATACCAAAATGAGAGCGCAATTTCGCACCGAGTGATAATGCCACTTTATCAACTCCCTTATCTGCAATAAAATAAATCTTCATAGCCCGTGTCTTCATCTAAAATAAAATAAATCTTCATCATGCAAATGTGCAACAGGATAATTTTTAGATCTGTCACCCACCTCCTCCGTTCCTGTAGCACAGATACGGGAAGCGCCAAATGTTGCCCAGACCAACAGCGAAGGAGAGACACGACAGCAGAAACTCCAGTTTGTTGTCCCATGCTCCCCTGTCTACTGGAGCTCCGGAGTCAGCCATCACCTCTTCCCCGTCCGTCTTGTTGACAGTTATGCGGATGTCCTTAGCATCCGACACCAGCTTCGTGGTGCTCTGGACGGTGGACACATTCGTTAGTAATCTGGATATCTGTGCAAATGGATTTCTAATCATTCTAAACTGAAATTGAGCTTTCTAGCTGTTCTATCATAATTGTAATAAAATGTTATACTAATATAGATGGATATGAAACCCGTTGATAAAAAATTATATTCCCATTCATAGATTGATTCAAAATCTGGATTAAATGCCCAGAGGTTTTTTTACGAGATCTTGTGGCATGATTGCTCATTATGAACATTAAATACCTTGATCTTATTTTCTTCCTCATTGTTCAGATCAGGTTTGTTATATAACTTCGACTGCCGATGCTGAAAACCCCGCATAACATTTACTCTTTTATGAATACTGGCAACTTCAGTCTTTGCTTGCCAAGTAAAGTTCGTAATTTTGAAAGATGATTCGTAAAGTTGTTTTTATTTTTTGATAAATTTCATAGATAATATTTGTTGTCTACTGCGATCCCCGTGTATATTAACACTGAATGTAATGTGCTCAAACCTCCTATGGCCTCGAGAGGTTCGACCGAACAATGGCTGAAAACTCAGCTTATCATAAAATCTCATACAACGAGTGATGGAAATGTACTAATGAATTAATATGTATCGCAACTTGAACAGTTGTTAATTAAACGATGTAAACGGAGTTATTCATTTCAGAAAAAGCTACGATATGGAAAAAAATTAACGGTGGATAGAAACTGCAACAAAGTACTTACAATTTAAAGTCAAACCTTTTTAAATCCAGAGAAATGAACAGAAGCAGTCACCAACTGCAAAAACAAATAAAAATAAGAACTTGAGTACGAAACATAAATACAAATCATGCGTTTACTACATTTTTACGCCTAAAACAACCAATTCAATACTTTTACTGCAGATATAACAACTGAAAATAATTGGTATCTATGAAACTGAAATGTTTAACAAATTTCCGAACTACGTTTTGCAGAAAGTGGCCCACAAATCAATCGACCCATGAGTATTATTCCTACTTAAATGATCTAAATTTTTGTCAATGCAGCATTTACAGATTTATTTAGTTTATCACAATGACTTCCTCGGAAACGGCTTAATGTGCTGTTAGCAATTTTTCTAACTTCCTGCAGAAACTATCTAAATTATTTTGAACTTCATTATATTTGGAACCTAATTCTTAAACTGCACATTTTGGCAAACCGCATAAAAAATACCATTTTCTGAAACTGAATCGACTAGCGTTTTCGTTATAAGATGACGACGATAGTGAAAGTGTTAAAGCTGAAGCTGTTCCGTGCGCTCGAACGTCAGCAGCTTGGTGATCAATAAAGGAAATCTAGAAGTAGGCCAAGGTTGCTCAGGGTAGCTGTGCTTGTGTTGGCTGGAGGTCGATAAGAACATCGTGTTCCGATCTAATAACCCACAGTTCGGGTTCTGATCCAAATACATTAAAAGATGCCAGTAAATAACTCTTAACTTTCTAGTACAGCATGAGCCTGCGGAAATGCGGAAAACCAGCTCACCGTTGCATATACTTTGCTTCTTTTTTATATAGGTCTGAAGTAAAATTGCTGTAATGAGCAAGGAGTTTAACAATTGACTGCATTATTTGGTGATTTACTATGTTTACAATTACGACACAACTTGGATACGCAAGGGTGTTCATTAATTACTTTAGTATCAAATGATGCAAAATTTCACATTTTCGTTCCTCTGCATGGTTGAATATTGAAATTATTCATGTCTATTAACATTGTTAACCGTGGCTTACGGAAAGTCCAAATTAGTTTTACGTGTTTTTTTAGGAAATCATTAATGAGAAATAATATCATTTAATAAATAGCAAAAAATCTTTTGTGATAAATAATAGCTCGTGAGGCATGAACGACATGACATGTACAAATTCATTGAAAATAGATTTCGAAATAAAAAAAACGAAGATCAGGAAATTCATCAGCTCAAATGGAGGAATTTTTATTTTAAACAATGTAAATAACTCTGAAAATAATTTCATTATTGTTGCAGATTTTCCTTAATTTTTCTCAATAATAGCTCAGTCCATATAATTTAGTTTCAATAAGCTGAACAGTTATTTATTCGCGAGCAGATTAAAAGCGAATTTTCCGAATGAATAGAAACGTATCAGTTGAGAGGTGTATTATGAAACAAGCTGTTCTTCAGGGGGATCGTTGCATTGGAAAAAGTGCTTCGTTAAAAAAAACACAACGTTTGCGTTGTGGCACTCGGGAGAGCAGTTATGCTTCACAGAAAGCGTTGTAGATTCAGAGAGTAGCTTGTAGTTTCTCCTACAGGGAGAGTTCTTCTCGATCCTGCAAGAAGAGAGCGTTGCCGCTAAAAGAAGAGCACTATAACAGAAGAGAGGTCAACAAGATCTACGGCTTTAAATTGTTCTTGGGTACTGTCGATAGATTCGATGCCTTCATGCGCACGTCTCAGTTTTTGAATTCGAAAGCTTCGATTACTTTCGGCGGCACAATCTGCCACCGAAACCAATTAACTGCCCAATCAATCAATTAACTCAATTTCGGCGGTTCAACGTCTTTTGAGTTAGTTAATGGGGAGATTCGCCTTTCATTTCAATCGTTGCCTTGAAACGGCAGTAATAAGGCTTGATTTTGGTCCGATGCAGCTACATTGCAAGAACATGATTTTTGCGAAGAGAATTTCCCACGACGAAGTTTTCTTCTTCCCTTTAATATTTATTCTTGACTATAAAACTTCACATTTATTATGCCTTTTATTTTCCAGCTTAATTGCGATTAATGATGATTATCGGTAGTATCGGAAGACTGTTGTGATTATCATCAGTCATGCATACATTTTACTGAACGTTGACGCATTTTCTCATGATTCTGTTAATTGTTGTGGACGCAGAGAGTAAAATTCTCAGAGGTAATGAAATCAAGAAATGGAAAACTATAAGAAAGTTTAGATAACTTATATATCGGGCTATTAGGCCAAAACTTTTCCTCTTGAAGTGGAAAACTTTTCCAAAGGCCATATTTATATGGCCATTTTCCATTAGGCCAAAACTTTTCCTCTTTTCCTCCAGTGACATTAAATTTTGAATGAGCGCTTACCTCGTAAAAATTTAATTCCAGATTGGATAATTTATTCCACGGCATGAAACTGGCAGCCGCCTTGACATAATTTCATTAAATAATAAATGGCATCTTTACTAAATTACTGCACCTGCAGAAAGTAAACTTTCAAAACACTCTGAACGAAGTCTTCCCAGTTCCCATTACTCCTAAAATATACACGCGACTTTGCCCTTTAGGAAGCTTCCACAGAAGCTTCTATTCTGGTGCAGCGGCCGCCAGCAGCCCACGGTATTTACTAGCGCCGGCCCTGCGGCAGCGCATCGCTCGTCACGCTGATGCCGCGCTGAGAGCCGCTTATGTAAGCGCGAATTAAATGTTTCATAATAACTACACTGAGAAAATTTGTTGCGTCAAGCTCACTGTGGTAGTTGACATGAGTAAACCCATGTGTTGGGGACTATTGTGACTCAATGATAATAACGATCAAGAAGCCATATGAGTCAAAGCCAAATTAAATCGAAAATTTTGAAATAACTCCACGCACATTCAATATAAAAAAGTATTTTAGATCCGAATTTTGAATAGTACGTTAGTGAAACTTCGCGGAGAAGAAATGGGACTCCTGTAAGCGATGACATTAGCCCATGGACAAGGCTTATTAGACACTACGACTTTTGCATTTGCTGTATAGATTTATGTATTTTATTATTTTATATATTTGTTATTTTCTGCATATAAGCAGCTGTTGAGGGCAAACGCCCTCACGTGTTCAGAACCGTGTGTGCAAGACACGACCGTGTCTAGACAGCCGTGAGCAGGTGATCGATTCACTGACTCATAACAATCAATAAGCTGGTAATTTGTCAGGTCTATTGATTACACCCATGCCCCGCCTACGCATGATGACGACCTCAATGAAGTTATGTTTAGAGAAACAAAAATATTCAAATGATGATAAGGAAATTGTATCGTTTATTCAACCACGTGCAGAGAAATTTGCCTACTTTGATTCATATTTTCCACATCGAGCCGATGATATATGCCAGGAGAAGTTTCCTATATAGCACCAGAGTGCAGGGTGCTATATGTTTCCTTTACAGCACCAGGGTGGTCGCTTTCGTCAAGGCTAAGACAGATTTACCACCCCAACTTCGATTGAATGATGTTATTTTTATATTTGTCTGCTCCGTGGGCGTCATAAAACTGATGATGTGTCAGAGTGTGTCGGAGGAAAAGCGTTCACTCGTTTCGAGGCAAAATAAAACAAACTTAAGTTTCCTGACAAGCGCTCACTTAATCTTTTAAAATATTCGTCAACATGTGCGCTTTCGGTGAGACCTTGAAAGATATTCCTAAACCAATGATAACGAATTTTTTAATGAATTTTTAGTTTAATGAAATAACTCTTTCTTATCCCATTCAAACTTGTATTAAACTTAGCGGTCAAAAACAAAACAAGTTGCTAATTAAAATGGCATAGAAATATATCTTAAGCAGCCCGCGTTTCCTCTAACTATTTTAATGCTTGATATTGGTAGCAACTTGAACGATTTTATGGCCATTAATGTACCATTCTTTGAGAGCAGAGAGAATATTCCAGAATATCACATACGGTATTCCAGAAACACACGCAGTAGCTAAACCTAGTGAAATTTATTGTTAAGCCTTCAATCAAAAACTCATAATAGTTTCGAGGGATAAAAAATTGTTTTTCTTTATTGATGATGATGAGGGCCATCGGTAGTTTTTCTTCCTGAAGTTTTACAACTGAAGACTTGCATTTCAAACAAAACACTTGCTTTAAGCAGCATTTGATTATTTTCAGATAAATATGGCTCATATTTTGAAAGAGGAGAACAATTTTTTCACCAACTGATGACAAAGCTGTTATCAAACATTCCTATTCTTTAAGCGTTTGCTGCGACTGTAGTGACTGTCGTAAAACACAGGAGTATGCAAGCTAGCATGCAATGACTAGGCAGCGCCTATATGGGATAATTTGCACATGGTCTGAAAAATATGTTTTTCGCCAAGGCTGAGTAATTCTACTAAGTGCAAGAATTTGCGATCTTTCAACAACACAGTACCTCACATACAACGTTGTTTGTTTTCGCTACATATGTCTCAATATTTACGGGTTGACTACAATTCAATTTGAGACATTTAATTGAGATACGTAATTCTATATCCTTCGTTTGTCAATCTCTGAGCGTATGTAGACGATATAAATCTGCAACGGAAATTTATCCCCACATTACAAAATCTATGGCTTCAATTTTGTATCGTGAATATTTTTTCAAAGCTCATGTATAGTACCTGTTCAAATTTCAATCATTCAAATGTTAAAACCGCTTCAAATTATTAGAGAGTGTTCCAAATAGAAAAATGATATAGAAAATTAGCAAATTACGCTCTTAAAACAGTATGAGGTCTGTCTTGCATGGCGGCAAACTAGACAAAGCAAATTCGCGGTAAACCCTAGATAACTACAATCGATTTATTGTTTCCTTTAGCGATAATCAATTTTGCACGCAGGCAGCGAAACGATTCGAGCCTCCAGCCGAAAACACTAGGCCTTGAGAACACACAACCGCTGGCTACTGCAACTGCTGCTGCTGCTGCTGCTGCTGCTGCTGCTGTTGTTGTGGCTGCTACTGCTGTGGCTGTGGCTGCCACGGCTACTGATTCTGTGGCTGTGGCTGCTGCGGCTATTGATGCTGTGGCGCTACTGTTGTGGTTGCTGCTGTTGTGGTTACTGCTGTTGTGGCAACTGCTGTTGTGGCAACTGCTGTTGTGGCAACTGCTGTTGTGGCAACTGCTGTTGTGGCCCTCGCTGTCACCGCTCCTGTAACAGCCTAGAAAAATGTCGTAAATGTGTCAGTGCTTCCTGGGGCTAGCCACGCCACGCGCGGATTACCTGCCAGCTTCATGTCTACTCCTGCTAATTGGCACTCCGTGTAAACGAAGCGTTCTGGTGCCATGACCGCTGGTTTGCCGGTTACAACAATTAAACAATTTGGTGATGTCAGTGAAACAGAGACACTTTAAGCAGAATATTGTAATTTATACACGTAGAAATACAAAAAGTAGAAGAAAATACAAAAATATACTACAAATCTTTGACGACAGTTTATTTCCGTTATCGTTTCATGAGACATAAGCGACTAGTTTGCAAATTTTATCCAATTTTCCCCTTAAAATACCTGAACGTCATTTATCTGCCATTCTATTTTAACATATTCAAACACCAGCACGTTTTCACTTTCCTTCTGCTACACGCATGCTGCCAGCTGCGCATGCTGGTAATTTCCGGTGAGCTAGACTAGCAAAAAAACCGCGCTCTCGCTGCTATCAGATAACAACAGCAAACAGCAGAGCGCCTCGGAGGAAATGCTCCGTCTTTTCAGCTTTTCTCTTCAAATGACTTCTGTTTTTTCCTCAAAAATTTCATGAATTCCTTCCGGAAAAAGTTGAAGTAAATTCTTATGTAAAAAAAATGAGTAAACCACAAATACTCAAAAAATAATCAAAAAATTTCGGCTTGACAAAACTAACACATTTTAAACCGAACTTTAACTAATTATAGCTTGAATCTCAAATGATCTAGCGTTAATAATATATTTGCGCATTGCACGCATGAAGCGCAGTTGTATAAAGTTCGCAAGGTGCGGTGACAGAAAACAGGCCAGTTTTTTGTGGACAAGGTCGTAAACTCGAGCGCGGCTGATGCAAGCGCCGGCACTCGTTGCAGTAGCCCAGCTCCATCTTGACGGGATCTACGCGCGTGCCGCTTGATAATTGTCAATTGCAATGGCCTTATGTGTGTTACAATTGCTTATACGCTATCTTCAGGATTTACGCTATCTCATGGATATAGTTCATTAGGCTCACAAGGTAAATCATTATTTTACCTCGAAATGCAGTCATCAGCTCTAAGAAAAATTTCTTTGGTGCTAAATGCACATCGCATGAATAAAAATTTATACCACCTGATGTTGGAGCGCATACGTATGTTGGAACGCATACGATGTAATGGAAAACATTCACTAATATTGAATAATCACGCTCCTGAGAAAGACCTTTTTCAGCCTCTGCTTACTAAACATTCATGTTCTATCAATCTATCCTTATGACGACCTCAGGCCTCATTCCTATTACATTCGATCATCATTCTTTTCTGAAGCTTACTCAGACTTTTTCAACAACATGGAAGCAAGGATCGCGGCACAGACGTAACCTGTCATTTATCCTGTAATTGCGCGGTAATGTGGGGGAGCATAGGAAGGGGGCAAAATACAGTCCCTCGGTCACGAGGACTCCTCACAACTCCTACGCGTGCTTTCCTGCCCCTCGATCAATACAGGGAATGATGCGGTGCCTGGAGGGAACATGGCGCCCCCCTCCAACTCCCCATATTCGTGCGGGGTGGGCACCTTCGTTATCACCACCTGGCCGATAAGCCTCCTCACCCTCCAAAGTTTCCCCTGGCATAAACGATGTGATGCGAGACTAACTCTCTCTTTTTCCGGTCACGTGCCACGATAAGCAAACTTTTCATGGCATTGCATCTTTGTAAAGAAAAGATATGTTAGTGTAAAACTTCGGTAAATGTTCGTTTTTTTTCATGTGAACAGCATTTGCACTGTATTACTGTAAATGCAACTATACAGGTATAATTTAGTTTCTATTCATTTAAAACACTCAAAAATAGGTATCAACCTAATTTTTGCGGCTACGAATTGGCAGAATTTTTGCATCAAACCAAAAATCGTGGAAAACTTTCCTTGATCATCTGCTGGTAAACTTTGGGTCGTTTAAAGTAAATATTCTTCCCTAATCTTCATCAATTTCATACTAAAAATACTTCTAAATCATAATACTGGAAATAAAATCAGCTAAATTTACGCTAGTATCTTAGTCTAATTCATAGGTGAAACATTATTGCTAGCCTCCAAGCAACGCAATAAAGTGAAGCATCTAAACATGCATCTAATTAGTGATGGCGTGAGTGATTCGCACGAAGTTATTTGCTTAACAATTTCGTTTTAAATGTCCTCCACTGTTGTATTTGTGCAAATGCATCAAAGTTATGAAATGCCTTCTGTAAGCTCATGAGGCATAGCGAACAGGAACATTATTTCAGACTTTGGTAATATATGTATGTTAGGTGAATTCTTCCTTTTAGTTTTGCTGACACTGTCAATTAGTGCTGGTCAACAATTGCAATTGTTTGTTTCGGTTTAGCGAAGCTCCTGGCTCCGCTAGGATTTTCACTTTTGGATATTTTGGAGGGCAAAATGTGTACTTGCAAATTTATTTCACTCGAAAAAAAAAAGAAGAAACTACAACTTACCTTGACCTCCTTCATGGCACCGTAGTCTTCGGCCCGCTCCTTAGCTCGAGATAAGGAATCCGGAAACTTTGAACGCTTCATGAAATAAATTTCATCACAGTTCTATCTTCCAATTTTAGCCAAGCTTACGATTTCTGGTTAAACAAATAATCTGCAGCACTTAACCATAGCTCACGAAGTTCTCAAGCAATCGTCATTCCGAGTAACTTTCTGGGAACAAAATCATATAAATTGATAGTGGAAACTTAATCGTCGTGGTTTAATAATGAGGACAACGTATCCAGTCACGACTCACGAAGTTTCCATTAACAGATATTTCTGCACCCGCCATTAAATCTAAAAACGAGATAATTGAATTTCAAAAACTAAAAAGGATTTTTTTCAATTTGAATGATTAGTAGTAAACTTGCAATAGAAATTTTTGGTACCTAATTAAATATTAATTCCGAACATTACTCAAAATCCGGCACTCAGCTGATACACTCGAGAGCTCCATTAACTTACAACGCTCAGCAACGGCGGGTGCGTTCACACTGAGCGGCAGTCTGAGCCGCGTCACTCGCGTGCGCCGTGATGGGGTCCACTCTCCAGACAGGCCGACGGAGAGTCAATATCCGACTCTCCAAAATTATGCTGATAAGAAAACTTGAAATGGAACGCTTGAAGACTTGAAATAAAACAAATGCGATGCATTATGGTTTTGTTTCGAAATATTCCACAATAAAATGGACTAAAACATCATCTTCTATGTCCAGAAAAGTTTCACGATAAAATAATTAGCAAATTTTCATGCCGTGCGCCGCAGATCTTACTACTGATTTAACAAGAACTTGATATTTCATTATTATTACATTACCATTCCCAGTTTATTTAGCAAGGTGCATTAACGGTTTAGTGAACTGGCAATTCACTTATTTCGGCACGGTATAAAATACGGTCACTGGAGCGCAGCATCACAATGAACAACAATTTTCATGTTTATTCAAGAGTTCCTTGTTAGTGTGAGGGTTCGAATCATTTGTTTGGCTCATATCGTACACTGTTTTTTTCACGCTAGAGTACAGTTCACCATTTGAATATTTTAATTCAGTGACCAATTAATCGACAATTTACGCTATTAATTGCCGATCGATGACATTCGTTGAATTAATAACTTTACAATTCAAGGACAGATTTGATGAAAAAAGTTATATTTTCCGTCTATATTCATCTTTTTTTCACTTCCCGTCACTTACTTTTCATTTCTGCCGGTGGATGTAAAAGTATCTGCATTGCTTCTTTTCAAAGCGAGTATGCGGTTCACTTGCTTGCATGCACGAGACGATCATTGCGTGCTGGGTTACAAAGAAGGGGGCAATCGCTCATTATAATGCGCCATCTAAACAAGGACTGACCTGAGGAACCATACCGGGTCGGAACGCCCCAGCATTACAGTGAGGTCAGGGTACGACGAGCTCTTCATATTACGTGGTGACCTCACATGCAAGTATTTTCTAACTAATACGAACACTATTGAACACCTCAAAAGAAGTCCATGATTAAAAATCTGATCATAAGATGTAAAAAAATATTAACAATTGATAACAGGATGCGCCTTCAAAACTTCTATCCGCGAATGTTATAGATTTTTTTATTACAAGACTTCTCTTTAACTTCACTTCTTGTTTGTTTGTCTGTCTGTCTGTCTGTCTGTCTGTCTGTCTGTCTGTCTGTCTGTCTGTCTGCTACAAATCTTATAATCGATATTTAACACACTTCTACCTGTCCAATCGATCTGAAATTTTGCACACTTGCGTAAAGTTGGAGACACACTTCTACCTGTCCAATCGATCTGAAATTTTGCACACTCGCGTAAAGTTGGAGACAATGCATGAATCAATTTACAGAATAAATAATTTTGTAAATTATAATTTTTTTCATTATTAAAAAATAAAAAAAATAATTTCGCCTGCTACAAATCTTATAATCCATATATGCAGAGGTGGGCAGTAGCGCGCTACATGTAGCGGCCGCTACTAGCGGCCGCTACTAGCGGCCGCTACATTTTCAGTAGCGGTAGCGGTAGCGGTAGCGGTAGCGGTAGCGGCGCTACATTTAAGGCAATGTAGCGGTAGCGGTAGCGCCCGCTACATATTTAAGTAGCGATACGAGGTTTTGCCGCTACCGCTACATTTATAGATAAAGCCTTTAGAATTTACTTAATATTATTAAATATTATTTTAAAACCAGAATGATACATACATAATATAAATTACAGAATAAAACTGTACTAAAGATTTCGGTGTAATGTTGTCAACCTCATCCTGTTGCTAGTGTCAACATGTTAGTTGTTAATTGTTAAGTTGTTACCAGTTACCACTTACAGGTATTTTTTCATATTTCAGTTTGCTTACAGTTATTTTTATGTTTCACCTTCCCTACATGGATGTCTATTTTAATCTACCAATCTCGAAAATAATCCACATATATATACAAATAAAAGAATGATTTTTATATGTATTTGTGGATAATTTTTTAGATCGATAGATTAAAGTACACATCCATGTAGGGAAGGTAAAACATAAAAATAACTAACTTCTATTTACTGTATCTAACCCGTACTAGTTCGGTTAGGTTAATTGCAATAAAGTTGCATTGATATGTTTTGAAAATGTTTTATTATCATTAAATGTTTATGAGTAAATCCCAATAGCAAAACAATAAATATTTAGAGATATCCAATAATTTTGGCCATTGTAGCGGCTAATGTAGCGGTACATTTACTGTAGCGGTAGCGGTAGCTACATTTTACTGTAGCGGTAGCGTTCGCTGCAATCTATTGGGTGTAGCGGTAGCGGTAGCGCCTGCTACATTTCAAAGTAGCGCTGCCCAGCTCTGCATATATGACACAATTTGACCTGTCCAATTGATCTGAAATTTTGAACAATTGCATAAAGTCAGAGACAATGCATGAATCAATTGACAGAATAAATAATTTTGAAAATTTACAAAATTTTGATATCTTGAAAAATTTTGAAAAAGAATTTTTTTTTTTTCAATATTTGAAAATAAAATTAGAAATTCATTGTACTTGTGTAACATCCAAGACACTGGATTGTTCAGAAGTGTTGTCTTTAAAAAGTAATTTTTAAACGCATATTATTTTATATTCTAAGGTATAATATATTTAAGTCTGCTATCGTTTGATCGTGTTCACAAGCAAAAATTGCTTGTGTTCAGTTCAAGACTATAGTAATATGCCCGGTAATTTAAATTTATTCAAGGGTATAATATATTTAAGTCTCCTATCGCTTGATCTTCTCCTATCTTTGGATCGCGTTAACTAGAAGATATCGCTTGTGTTCAGTTTAAGATTATAGGAATAAGCTCAGTAACTTTTTTTTAGATTCTAAATTATAATATATTTAAGTCTCCCATCGTTTGATCGTGTTCACAAGCAGAAATTGCTTGTGTTCAGTTCAAGACTATAATAATATGCCCGGTAATTTTTAATATATTGCATGGAATAATATATTTAAGTCTCCTAGCGTTTGATCGCGTTAACTAGAAAATACCGCTTATGTTCAGTTTAAGATTATAGTAATAAGCTCAGTAATTTTTTTATATTCTAAGGTAGAATATATTTAAGTCTCTATCGTTTGATCGTGTTCACAAGCAGAAATTGCTTGTGTTCAGTTGAAGACTATAGTAATATGCCCAGTAATTTTTTACTTATTCTAGGGTATAATATATATAAGTCTCCTCTCGTTTGATCGCGTTAACTAGAAGAAATCGTTTGTGTTCAGTTAAAGATTATAGTAATAAGCTCAGTAACTTTCTCATAAGACTTTTCTTTAACTTCACTTCTTGTTTGTTTGTCTGTCTGCTACAAATCTTATAATCGATATTTAACACACTTCTACCTGTCCAATCGATCTGAAATTTGGCACACTTGCGTAAAGTTGGAGACAATGCATGATTCAATTGACAGAATAAGTAATTTTATAAATTAAAAAAAATTCATTATTAAAAAAAATAAAAAATAATTTTGTCTGCTACAAATCTTATAATCCATATATGACACAATTTGAACTGTCCAATTGATCTGAAATTTTGCACAATTGCAAAGTCAGAGACAATGCATGAATCAATTGATAGAATAAATAATTTTGAAAATTTACAAAATTTTGATATCTTAGAAAATTTTTGAAAAATAATTTTTCTTTTAAATATTTGAAAATAAAATTAGAATTCATTGTACATGTGTGACATACAAGACACTGGATTGTTCAGAAGTGTTGTCTGTAAAAAGTAATTTTTAAACGCATATTATTAAGTTGTAAGGTTAATCCATTCAATCGCTTAAATGTTTCATGCAAACATTTTGTCACAATACACACCCAATGCATGGTCTTGACATCCAATTCAACAATATGATAATGGATATAACGGTTGCGCTGACGTCGAGTTGACGTTGATGAACTGAGCAGCGTAAGAATGATTACTGAAATTAGGCGGCTATAGTTGCCAGATGTGTTCCGTGCCCAGTTAGTTGTAACGGTGCTGGACTTTCCTGTTACTAAGAATTGCGGCGCTCTGAAGTATCAACTTATCTTATCGAAATATACATCTATCACCTCACTATAGTTAGGGAGAGATGACACGAATTGTTGTTCAAGAAGTGTCTTCAAAATAATTATTCGCAATACTTTGATTGTTAACATTTATTTTTAACAAATTTTTAAAATATAATTTAGGGACTGCTTCGTGGATTATAAAATCGCTGAAGAAGATGATCTAATCATTCTATTCGCCAAATGCCACTTATTAACAGCAGTAACTGATCCAATTTTTTTAATCGGATCGATAAACTAATTTTTTAACTTGAATCGAGAAATTCATTCAACACGAATTGCATGTCATCTTAGTGTTCGAGCGAAGGCTGCTGAGACGAACTTTATCGTGGTACACTGATCACTCAGTCTAATTCCGTACTATAAGCAAATAGCTCGACAGGTGCAAAATAATCTCTCTAAACGTACGGCAGCATCATAGCAGACTATAATGCAACAAGCAAGCGACGTCAAAAAGCGTGGCGCTGGCAAGGCAAAATTTACTCGCAGTAATATTTGATCAGGTCAAAAATATTCTTGTGAACATTTCAGTGTGCTTGAACAAACGGATATTCAGCTATAATACGAATAACATTAGCGACGTGTACGAACCCTTACCAATACCTTACTCGGACGCATTACCAAAAATATTAATTTTTCACACACTTTTATTTTTTTAACACATTTTTTACAATTTCTAACAATTAAAACCTAGGGCTCAGTGGGAGTCTACTGAACCACGTGGATGGAGGCACCTTATGCCGATCAATACGGCAGGCTTGCCGCCGGTCTTGGCGCGCCTCCTGCCTCAA